CCAGGCTGGCCTCGAACTCACAGAGAAGTGCTTGTCTCTGCTTCCCAAGTGCTGGGATTAAAGGTGTGCACCAATAAGTTTCTTGTGTGTGTTCATCAGGCTTGTAGTATCTCTCAGGCTTGCTGCTGTTGAGACAGGTCTCACTATATAGCCCTGACTGGCCTAGAGTTCACAGAGGTCCACCTGCTCCGAGTGCCCACCACATCCGGCTCATCAGACCTCTTATAACCATATGACAATCTAACATGAATTTTGTTTGTATTTGTGTGAAACTGGGGACTAAATTCAGGTCCTCGTACATGTTAGATAGGTGCTCTACCACTGAACTACACCCCCAACCTTTTTTACTTATTATTTTATTTTATTTTTGTTTTTCTAAGACAGGGCTCTCTCTGTAACTCTGGCTGTCTTAGAACTCACTCTGTAGACCAGGCTGGCTTTGGACTTGAAGATCGGCCTCCCTCTGCCTCCTGAGTGCTGGAATTAAAGGTTAAACCCTTTTTTACTTTTTATTTTAAGACAGGGTCTTGATGAGTTGCCCAGGCTGCCTTGTATTTACACTCCTGTTTCAACTTCCTGAATAACTAGAACCTGTACCACCATGCCTGGTGAAAAACAAGTTCTTGAAAGTTGGTATTAGTCTTAAAAAATGCAAGTAGATGGGAGGACAGAGGGAAACAGTGTTTATTTTAGTGTCTGTCATGCGCCTCACACTGCTGTGCAGTCCTCATGATACTTAGACAGACTAGCTTTGCTCCACAGCTGAAGTCCTGAATCTCAAATTTACCTGAGGTTATACATTTATAATCAGCTAGACACAGTGTCTCCACTCTCAAATCCCAGAATTTGGGGCCTGAGACCAGAGAACTGCTGCAAGCTCCAGGCCAGATAGAGTTTCAGGCTAGTCTTGACTATAATGTGAAGTCTAAAAAAAAAAAGGAAAAAAGAAAAAAAGAAAGAAAAAAAGAGAAAAAAAAAGAAAAAAGAAAAGTTAACCCCAGCACTTGAGAGGCAGAGGCAGATTGATCTGTGTGAGTTCACAGCCAGCCAGGTCTAAATAGTCAGTTCTAGAACAGATAGGGTTGTTAGGGTTGTGAGAATGTGTCTTTAAAGAAAAGAAAAAAGCCAGTTGTGGTGGCACATGCCTTTAATCTCATCACTTACAGGCAGAGGCAGGGGGATTTCTGTGTTCCAGGACAGCTTTGTCTACACAATAAGTTTGTAGGAATTCAGGGCTATATGGAGAAACCATGTCTAGAAAATCAAATCAAATCAAAACAAACAAAAATCCCCCAAAGTGAAAAACTAAACAACAATGTTGAAGGTTTTGCCCAACCCATAGAGCCAAGGATGTGTAAGACTCAGGGTTCAACTTCTGATCTACACACATAGACAAAAAGATAACGGGCTGGAGATGCGGTTTAGCAGTTAAGAGCACTTGTTGCTCTTGCAGAGGACCAAGAATCAGTTTCCAGCACCCACACAGTGGCCTTTAGATAGTAACTCAGCTACTAGAATTCAGTTCAAGGGATCTAAACTCTCTTCCAATCTCTGAGAGCATCAGACACACATATGGTGCACATGTCTATAAGCAGAAAAAACACTCATGCATATGGAAGTAAAATAAAGCTAAAAACAATATGGAGATTGTAAAAATCATAGCATCAGCTGGCTATGGTGTTGCACATCCGTAATCCTAGCACTTAGTAGGCTGAGGCAGGAGAATGACAAATTTGAGGAGAGCCTGCACTATAAAGCAAGATTGTTTCAAAAGAAATCTGTAGTATAGTAAAAATAAAGCATATACCAGAACTCTAATACTTAATAATTACTTAGTACACTTAATAATACTTAATTTTTAAATTATTCTTTTCTAGTCAGTGTTTGTAAACTTCAACATCCTAGCTAATAAGGATGGACATAACTGTGTAGACAGCAACACATAGAAAACCTGCTGATACTGTGCATGTATGTGTGTGCATGTGCATACATATACATCACTACCAGCGAATGTTGCACTTACATGTGATAACTTCTCAATTCCATACTGAGATCCAAGTTGAACAAACGTGAATATATTTATGGGGCAGTATAATAGGATATTTGAAATCAGAATAGTATTGTATTAATGTAGATATTTTGCTCTTTTGGCTCTTTAGTCTTTTGAGGGGCCCACCACTCAGCTCCCAAATAAATCATACATGGGGATTTATTCTTAGTTATGAATACCTGGCCTTAGCTTGGCTTGTTTCTTACCAGCTTTTTTTTAATTATCCAATCTTTCTCTGTTCCTGTATACCTTTTCCTTCCTTCCTACTTCACGTCTGACTGTGTAGGCGGGTGGCTGGGTAGGTGGCCCCTGAAATCCTCCTCCTTCCTCTCTCATTCCCAGATCCCTTTCTTTCAGATTTCTTCTCATATTTATCCTCTCTGCCTGCCAGCCCTATTTCTCTCTCCTGCCTTGCCATTGGCTGTTCAGCTCTTTATTAGACCATCAGGTGTTTTAGACAGGCACAGTAACACATCTTTACAGTGCTAAATAAATGCAACATAAACAAAAGCAACATACCTTAAAGCAATACTCCCAACATATTAATAGTATTATTAATAAATTTATATTACTAGTAATGTAATATTATTAGTATTACATTAATTGTGTATGGTCAATCAGGTGTATATATATTTTTTGTTTTTGTTTTTTGAGACTTTGGCGTCTGTCCTGGAACTCGCTCTTGTAGACCAGGTTGGCCTTGAACTCACAGAGATCCACCTGCCTCTGCCTCCGAGTGTTGGGATTAAAGGTGAGTGCCACCATTGCCCGGCTGCAGGTGCATAATTTAAGAGACTATCCTAGTATCTAGTGAAATACTACATGCCAACTCAAAATCTGTTATTTACAATGCCAACATTTTCAAATGATACACTCAAGATTTTATTATACTTATTTATGTATATATACACATGCCATGGTGTATGTGTGGGAGACAGAGGACAACTTACAAAGAGCCAGTTCTCTCTTTCTACCAAGTTTGGCCAGGGGAATCAAACTCATGTCATCAGGTTTGGTGTCAAGTGTCTTAACCCTCTGGACCATCTCATCAAGCTTACTAAAAAGAGACTAACTTGGAGCTTACTTCAACCATGTTATATATTTGGAAAAAGAGACTGTATATCTTTGTACTTTTAAACAAAGACTTAATAGTTTAGTTAAGAAAGAATTCATTCTGGGACAAGTCTTAGGGAATTAGTCAAGACTGCTCTCATATACATTAGTTTTTAAATGGGTGACAGTCTGATATGTAAGCAAATAAACATGCTTTGCACTATCAGAAAGACAACTTTCCCCAGAAAGGGCAGACTCATTGATGGTCTGCTCAGCTGCCTAAGTCAACAGTCACTGAAATATACTGCTTTGCTACCTATCTCCATTGGTGACCTATCAGCAACTGTATCCCCACCCTACACTGTGTTCCCTCTGTTTCATCTGTGGCTCATTGCCAGTTCCTAACATGTTTCTTGTCTCCTATCTTTCGTTTAGTCTTTTGGTTTGAAGGTACTAACTTGAAATGGAAACTTTTTTCCCCCTTTTCTAACTTGTTTCAGATCCCATTCACGAAGTCTGTTTATGTAGCTCGTGCTTTTACACTGTCACCATCTTCCCCTTCCTGGCTCCAGGGAACTGAGTTACTACTTCTGTGCTTGCTGACTGGCAAGGTTATTTTGGGCCATGAAGGCTGGGGTCAGGGTTAAAGGGCAGAAGTAGCTGAAATCAGTTTCAGTTGGTGAATCACATCTTTAGTTGTTTTTTTTTTAAGATTTATTTATTTGTGTATTTTATGTACATGAGTGCTCTGTCTTCATGCACACCAGAAGGAATCTGATCCCATTAGAGATGGCTGTGAGCCACCATGTAGTTGCTGGGAATAGAACTTAGGACATTTGAAAAAGTAGTCAAGTGCTCTTAATTGCTGAGCCATCTCTGCAGCCCCCACATCTTTGGTTTTTACATCCTATATGTATTGCAAATTGTCATCAGTGACCCAATTAATGTGTGTGCCCAACTTGTTGTGTAAATTATTCAAAATAACTGAAAAACGTCAATAGTGTTGTGGGGGTACTATTTCCTTTAGTCTTGGTTTCACAGTTTCACAGTTATACTGCCTGCATTTTGAATGGTGTTTGAGAAAGGTGGCTTTTCCTCCTTTATATTTAAAACATAAACTGGCTCTATGTTTCAGATCATTAATGGTCTGGAGATTGCCATACCATAACTAAAAACAATTTTGCCAGATTAGTATAAAAGCTATAGCTACTAAAAAGTCAAACTATGTCTGAAAAAAACACCTAATCCTGGTTAGTTATCAACTATTGAGTTTTAGAACCAAAGCATGTTCAATAAAAGAAGGGGATATGTGCACGGCTAACAGACAAGGCAAAGAAAAGTCATGATCAATCTAGAGTAACCAATTCACCCACTCCCTGAGCCCATCAAGCGATACATCACACACCACAGTGGGTTTTGTTTGTTGTGTGTGTGTGTGTGCGCATGTGTGTGCGTGTGCATGTTTTAAATTTTCTGCAGGTTGGGACTGAATCCAGGGCTTCTTGCACACCACAGCAGGTGCTCTACTGCTACCTTACGAGTGCAGCCCAGGCATTTATTTTTAATGAAGTTCCCCTTTTTTAAAGCATTCCAGAATCAGGAGAAGATGAGCTAAAGTCATCTTTATTAAATATTTGCAGATGGGAAAGGCTTTGCATTGGAAAATGCCTTATTTCTATAATATGAAGGCCCTAAATGGAGTTAGGTCATGATCCACTTCCAATCAATGGCTTGCAACAAAATATTGTTTCTTCTGCTGTTTTCTTCATGCATGTCTTTACACTCCATATGACATACGTTTGCTTTAGAACGTTGCTCTTCCATTAGAGTAAGCCAGAGGGGAGGAGAGATCAAAAGGAAATTAATGTTATAGCAAGAAGAAAAGAAGACTCTTTCCTGAAACTGTGTAATGAGTGTTTTTATTTTTTTAAGGTTTTGGTACATTAAGTTCAAGACATTTTCACAGAATGGACTGTTCTTTTCGGGGTTAAAGTGAAACTTCCCATTCAGATAATGCATAGGCTGACGTTTTTTTCAAGAAAACAAAAGTAGGAATAGTGAAGTTTCATCTACTAGTGGTTTTCCCGCAGGCACTGAGGCTGTCACCATAGGGAAGGGCAGAAAGAGGAGACTTCATAGCATTCTTCAGTAGCTACTTCTTTTTTTTAGCAAGTCTGGTGATTAGATCTTTCCATTCTCCCCTCTTCTTTGTGATGTATGTCGGGGTGAGTAGCTGCAGTGGGGATTCTGGCTGTCGTCTAAAGAAGTTCTGACACAAGGCCTCGGTGTTGCATATCACGTACATCCCACAGTCATAGCTGTTTTGTTGAGCTGGGGCTTTCTTTTCCACAAAGACCAGTTTGTCTCCTCTGCTCCCTAAGAAAGCCTTCAGTTTCTCTGCCACCTGTTTTGCATGGATTGAGTTGCTTCTGCTGTGGGAATCATAATGAAAGAAGCTATCTTCATCTTGGAGATAAACCAACAAACTCCAGTGGGTACCCCCAGCTGCCTGGTTGGAATTATCGTTGATGGCTAAAAATACAACTCTCTTGTGGGGAAGGTTCAGGGGCTCGAGGAACATGGCAATCTCTGCAGGGCTGCTGGTGCACTTAATGAACTGGGTGACTTCGGGGCTGATGAAGCAGACATGGTCTGAGCAATCATGAAACTGACTGTTGGCAAAATATTCGAAGGCAAACCCAATAATATGATCATTGAGCCAGCTTGGAGGGTCCAATAGTGAGACATCTGACTGCCGCAGCAGACTGTCCATATAACTCAAGACTACTGGATCCATTCTGTTTTGAGCAGAGCTTCTCAAAAATCCCAGAAACTGGAGGAGAGTCAGAAGACAATATTTACTGTTGAATATGATATTAGGTTATAAAACAGTAGCTACTCTTACAGGAATATTGTAAAGATGACATGTAATTATAAAGTCTTTATCAATAATTTCCAACAATGCTGACATCATAAAACACTAAAGTTGAGTGGTGGTGGCACACATCTTTAATCCCAGCACTCGGAGGCAGGGGTAGGCGGATCTCTGAGTTCGAGGTCAGCCTGGTCTACAGAGCGAGTTTCAGTACAGCCAGGGATATGCAGAGAAACCCTGTCTCAAAAAACCAAACTAACTAAATTAACTAATTAATTAAAAAACACACTAAAGGAACTTTAGCTTATATACTGGATATGAACAATTAGAATAAAAATGAAGTCCCAGGTAGTGTATAATTTTAATTTTATATTTAAATGTAGAGAGAGATTGGTTAAAATTACAGCTGAGATTTTGCAAAAAACCAGAGCAGTAAACACATTCGAACTCTAATGAATGCGTGCAGTCAGGTGGGGTGGTATATGCTGTAATCCCTACATTTGGGAGGGAGAAGCAGGAGGACCAGGAGTTCATGGTCAATCTCAGCTCCACAATGAAGTCTGTGGTCTGCTTAAGCTACATGAGACCCTATCTCAATATGATAATGCATGATAATAACAAATTATTTTTAGCTTAAAAATGCATTCAAAGAGTCTGAAAAAAAGTTACTAATTAACAAAAGGAATAGTTTCCATTACAACATTAATTTTAAAGAGATAAGATAAAGTATTTCTTCCTCCATCCAAAGTAGAAAGTGACAGTGGTGATATCTGCAGTAAAAAGGTGTGGGAATTTCAAGAACAGATAGAGTAATGCAAATGAAATCCACTCCTAAATCTGGCCAGCTGTATGCACGAGTGATGTTTTTGCTCATTTCCCACCTTCATTGGATGGGATAAAAACTATGTAATGTAATGTCTGTCAGAATTTCTTTTGATATTTTGGTACATACTGGTATAGGATCAGGATCCTGGCTTGAGCCTTAGTTTTAGCACTGATTTGCCAGTATCATTTTGAGCAATGAATTAAATTGTTATTCTTTTAAATTTTTCCTTTACTGTGTGTGTTATTTGAATGTGCATGCCATGATGCACATGTGGCCATCAAGGGATAAGTTTCCGGAATAAATTTTCTCCTTCCAGCATGAGGGGTTAGGGCATCAAACTCAGGTGATCAGGCCTGCACAGCAGTGCCTTTTCCTGGTAACCTATTTTTCTGGCCTACTGTCTTGGTTTTGGTGACCGGTTAAAAGAGCATCTTAAAAAGGAACATTATCTAACTCTGCAAAATTGGCCAAATAAATTTCCTTGAAGATAGTTAAAGAGCTTACTTATTTTAAACAAGCTCTCACTATGTAGACGTGGTTGGCCCAGAATTCACTATGAAGATCAGGTTTGTTTTGAGCTCAAACAAACTCATCTGCCTATGCCTCCTGAGTACTAGGATTAAAGGCATGCATCAAATAAGTCGATTTAAATAGTTAAAAACGTTGTATACATAATATTCATATTATCAACAAACTAATACTATAGATACAGTCAGAAAAATCCACCTAGTATTAGAAACCAATTATAGCAAATGAGGGATGGAAAACAGCCATTCACATTCATTTGTTTAAATAACAGGTTGGTTAACTTAGAGGAAACACAGACAAGATGTCTCATGGGAATTAATATGCTTGTGAACAATCAAGGGTGTGCTAACAGGCAAATCTGCAGGTGTACAAGATGGCTTACTTGAGCCTAAAGACTCAACTGAGGTAATGGTTAATTGCTGTGCGGTAGCCTGACCACTCAGCAGAACTTCTAAAACCACAGACCAGGAAAAGGATCACAGGCAGACTGAAAGAACAAAATAAAGCAAAATATAAGAACAGAGAACAATGATACCAATTTAACCAATTCTGACCATAAGATCAAGTATTTTTATCATTTGGTTATACTACTAAAGCCATGCAAATATATTTATATTTGTATTTGATATAACCAATTTCACATAATCAAACCATACAAAATTGTACACAAAGTTAAGCATTGTGGTGCACACCTTTGGTCACAGCACCCAGAAGGCAGAGGCAGGTAGATCTCTGAGTTCGAGGCCAGCCTGGTCTACAGAACCAGAACAGTCAGGGTTATACAGTTTTGATAAACCAAACTAAACCCATAAAGAGTTGTACACAAAAAATACCTTTCAAGAAAAAATATTAAAGTAAAATGAGGTGGTTAATGATGTGTAGAAGACAGTCTTATATACATACAGCATGTGATAATCTGAATGACTTAAAAAACAATATAAGACTGCTTCTAAGAAACGTGTATTTTTGTATACATATATACCCAGCACAAAAGCAAGAGAACGGGGAGGGGGGAAGGGGGTAAGAGAAAAGAAAAAATAGCTAGAGTTCAGACAAACTGGAGTCAGGAGTAAAGTTAACGAGGCATAGAGCACATTGGTTATGGGTGAGCCACCAACTTGGCTCTAATCTTTCTGGCAGCTAACCAGACAGAGAGTTAAGTTAAATATTCACAATGTCCATAAGGCAAAGAGAAAATGCTTACTCAGGGAGGTAACAACATTCTTTGTATTAACATCTAATAGTTTATTATTATTGTTGTTTTGTGTTTTGAGTCAGGGTATAACACTATAACTCAGGATGGCCTGGAAGTTGCCCTGTAGCTCAGGCTGGCTTCAAATTCATAGTAATCCCGTCTCAGCCTCCCATGAGTTGGTATTATTATCATGAGCTACCACTTCAAGCTTTTGAATTTTTTTTCTCAAGAGATTTTCATAAAAGCAAACACGGTACACAATAATTTGTGTGTTCCACATCATCTTTATGACAGATGTAAAAGTTATTGTTTTAAAAATGATTCTTATAGCCCGGCAGTGGTGGCACATACCTTTAATCCCAGCACTTGGGAGGCAGAGGCAGGTGGATCTTTGTGAGTACGAGGCCAGCCTGAACTACAAGAGCTAGTTCCAGGACAGGCTCCAAAGCACAGAGAAACCCTGTCTTGAAAAAAACAAAACAAAACAAACAAACAAACAAACAAAAAACAAAAAAGAAAAAGAGAAAAAACGATCCTTTTAGCTGGGTGGTGGTGGTGCACACACATCTTTAATCCAACAATCCAGAACAGGCTCCAAAGCTACACAGAAACCTAGTCTCAAAAAACCAACCCCTGTCTCCCAAAAAGATCCTTTTACTATTAAGGCGGAGCCTTTAAACCCAGCACTCGGGAGACAGAGGCAGGTAGATCTCTCTGAGTTTGAGGCCAGCCTAGTCTACAAAGCAACTTCCAGGACAGCCAGGGCTACACAGAGAAACCCTGTCTCGAAAAACAAAACAAACAAAAAAAAATTAAGCCTGATGACAAATGACAGTGTAGTTGGTTTGTCAAGTGCAACTTGGTGGAGGCTAAGTACTTGGACTTAATATAAGAATACCTTATTGGGCTGGAGAGATGGCTGAGCTGTTAAGAGCACTGGCTGATCTTCCAGAGATCTTAAGTTCAATTCCAAGCAACCACCAAGGTGGCTCATAACCAGCTGTAATGGGATCTGGTTCCCTCTTCCAGTGTGCTTGAAGATAAAGCACACACACTAAGTTTTTTTTTTTTTTTTGGTTTTTTGAGACAGGGTTTCTCTGTAGCTTTGGAGCCTGTCCTGGAACTAGCTCTTCTAGACCAGGCTGGCCTTGAACTCAAAGAGATCCGCCTGCCTCTGCCTCCCGAGTGCTGGGATTAAAGACTTGTGCTACCACCACCCAGCAATAAATCTTAAAAAGAAAAAACAATCTTACTTTGAAGGGGAATGGCTAGTCACATATGTCAAGCTAGGCTTCTGGACACATGTCTCCCTTTATGGCCGTCTGTGGGTTGCAACCACCTTGGGGGTCGCATATCAGATATCGTGTATATCAGATATTTACATTACAATTCATAACAGTAGCAAAATTATAGTTATGAAATAGTAACACAATAATTTTCTAGTTGGGGGGTCACCACAACATGAAGAACTGTATTAAGGGGTTGCAGCATTAGGAAGGCTGAGATCCACTGGTTTATAAAATCAATAACTACAGCATAGGGGTGAATATCAGGATATACAACTTGGTAAATATCTGAGCTGTCTAGCTCTTAGCTCTCCATGACCCCACTTAATAGCCACCTAGAGATAGAAGCTTGCAAGAAAAGCACCCGAATAACAGTCTGCCTCACCTTGAAAGAAGTGACTACAAGACGCCACATGGTGTTCAGTGTTACCACTTACCATCTAATCATCTTCTAACCTGTGTTTACACTCCATCTAGTCCCACTTCATTCCAGGCACACTCAAGAGTCTCTACATACTTAGAGACACTTTTCTATTTATTTACTTTACTTAATCGGTTTGTTGATGCAAGGTTTCATGCAGCCTAAGGTGGCCCCAAACTTAGGCCAATCCTCCTGCCTTAGCCTTCTGAGTGATGGTATTACAAGTATGAGCTACCATACCCAGTGAAGTTCACATTTTGTTCAAATACTTTTTGTGGTTTAGGGATTAGCTCAGAGGCAGAATGTTTGCCTAGTATGTACACAGTCCTGTGTCTGATCCCCAGCACCAAAAACTGAGGTAAAAGTTTTGTGTTTTGTCTGAGTTTTGAAACACCCAGTGTGGTGGTTGTAGAGATGGTTCAGCAATTCAGAGCGCTTACTACTCTGTCAGAGGTCTGGAGTGCAGAACTCAGCATACTCAATGCCTTTAACTCTAAGGGATCTGATGCTCACTTCTCTGTACCCTTGAACACACACACAGGCAGAGACACAGACAAACACAAACAACAGACAAACACACAAATTAAAAAAATCAAGTATGTAGGCCAAAGATTGATTTGATTTTAAACAGCGTGATTGTGATTAACTCCCTGAATTATAATGAAAATAGAACTAAGCTTAGGCCAAACCACTATAGACAAG